TTTTATCTATATTTAGGTATTACATGATAAGTTTATGATAAAAAATCGTTAGCAATCTAAACGTTATTTACTTGAAGGATCATATAGAAATATATTCAATACTTCAGGGACCAAAATGAGACAAATCTTATACTTTACGGACCTCCACTGTAATTAACCCAATTTTATATTATGAAGATAAAAGTGTCTTTTAATCATACCATTAAGCCAATCCGAGGAAATTTTGTACATTATCCCTAAGTGAGGAGTTCAAAATTTTCATGTTAATAAGACAAAGTGTTTTTTTAATCATATCATTAAGCAAATATGAAGAAAGTGGCTTACAAGCTGGACCCCCTTTTTCTTCTTATCTGTTAAAGCAAAAAGAGTGACATCATTTAATAAAATAAAATAAAATTGTAGATTAACAAATCATGTGTCCACTGTTTATGTAGCATCCAACCCAATTCATATTGGGTTCCATTTCTCAATTATTCTGAAAGACTTTTCTTGATGGTTGTTTTGTTGATCCAGAATTAATTATGATCCAAACTTCTTTAATCGTTGAACCCCAAAAAAAAAATTAGTCACGATTTATGATATTTATACTTGATACTTTTTAAATCCCATGGTACTCCCGAGTTACATAATATTGTTTGTTTTATGGCTAAGCATGTAAGTTTTTTGAAACTAATTATATAATAAAAATTCAAAACTTGCACTCATAAAATACTGGATACCCATTTCTCCAACCGAAGTACGATTGCATAACCACATTCCTACTAGGTATTATTGTTCAATTTAAACTAGGCTTGTATTGCTTTACGGCCAATAAAAATCTAAAATTCAAACTTATCAAACGTTTCATATACATTTAAATAAGCGAAGTGTAATTTGTTAATTTTGATCAATCATAAAAATGTAAAAGGAAGAAGAAGAAAATATTATTGAGGCACAATAAGCCAGAATAACCTTGAAGAAAAATTACTATATAAGAGGTATTTATATAAAAGGGTAAAAAGAAAACAAACAGACTAAGTTAGGAAAACATAAAAAGAAAACAAAAGACTAAGTTACCCCTAAGTCTAAATATACTAATTATTTTAACACCCTCCCTTAAACTCATAATGTGGTAGGAAAAAACATCAAAAGTTTGTTAAGAAGAAAACGATCAGCAAGTAGCCAATGCAATCAAACTATCTCTGCTGTTGTGAAAGTCATAGCATGATACTCAGCTTCAACAGATGATCGAGCCACAATAGTTTATTTCTTACTTTTTCAGGAAATAAGAGAATCATCAAGGAAGAGACAGAAACCAGTAGTGGACATACAATCCAAAAAGTCACCAGCCCAGTCCGCATCAGAGTAAGCACGAAGTTCTAGAGATTTAGAGGAAGAAAATAATAAACTCAACAAATACTCTAAGTGTAGGCTCAACGAATTAAAACCTAAACCAACAGCTCAACAGAAAGAAGCTCAAATCAACAAACTTAAAGGATTGGGGTTACCCAACAAAAATCACTAGCAATTATGTCCAACAAAACAAAGCCCAACAAAGGAAATAAGAAAAGCCAAACAAACAACCCAACAGAGAGAAGTCCAAATCAACAAAGAGAAGAAGAAAAGCTAAACCAGCAGCCTAACAGAGAGGAGCCCAAATCAGACAAAGAAATGAATGTCAAAAGGAATTAGGATTTCTTACCTTGCAACAAGAAGCACCAGCAGAAAAGAAAAGGCAGCAAACCCAACAACTAGAACTAGCAATCTATGTAGCAATTGGTTCACTGAGGAAGACCTAGGAACGAAGGCACAGAAAAAGACAGCCAATACACAGGGAAACACAAATCTAATCACAAAACAGAAAGAATAAAGCACCAACGAAGCCAATAGAGACCTCCCCAAAACAGAAACCAATCAGCAGAAGTCAAGAGCAGAAACTAGAACCAAAAGAAGCAGTCAATGCCAAATAATCCAAAGTTCGCCATAAATCAACTCAACAACTTTGTAAATCAAATACTCATAACAAATTGAGACTTCTTACACAACAATACAACAAAAATGGCACTAAACATCGAAATTTGGCACTGTCCACAGCTCGTGAATAGTAATATCGGTACTGTACATAGCCCTTAGAACTATGTTAGTTCTGATACTATGTTAACTTTGATCAATCATAAAAACGTAAGAGAAAGAAGAAGAGAATATTATTTAGGCACAATAATCTAAAACAACCTTGAAAAAAATTACTATATAAGAGGTCTTTATATAATAAGATAAAAAGAAAACAAACAAACTAAGTTAGGACAACATAAAAAAAAAAAAAAACAAATTATTAAGTTACCCTTAAATTTAAATATACTAACTACTCTAACATAATTATCATCATTTTTTATGCATAACAATGGATGTAGCCGACTATCAAGAAAAAGAGGAAAAGGAGCCATCACACCTAGTAGGATTCTAACCTAGCTGGACCGTGTTTGAAAATCGACAACTCCTTATAAAGGAGAGCAAACCCACTTTTGCACAAAAAGAAATGAGGGTTAAAAAAGACTTAAGAATCAAGTCGTCATTTCCAAAGCTAAGAGCAATAGAATCACTTCATCTAGAAGGGTACTTTTATGCTACCTTTTGATCCTCTCCTCCAATTACAAAGATATAATTGCAGCATTTGTTATATTCAAAAGTTGTGAATAATTGTTGGGCCATTGTAGAATAAAAAAAGCCAATCATTTCCTCTTTAGTTTTTTTTTTTGCCTTTTTTACACTTCTTCTAATGGTGGATATATAAATTGAGCTCCTTGATGATGTCAATCTTTTGGGATTTGAAACAGTGGAATCTTCCAGAGCAGTGTCTTTCTTAAACCTAAATGGGCCAGTAGGCACCTACTGACCCAAGAATGCAATCAATGGGGTTCTAAAGGAGGCCCGTCCCGTTTGGGATGAGAAAACATAACCCACTGAAGTAATTTTCCCCTTTGGACTAGAAGGCCCAAAGGCTCTAGGGCTTCGCCTAACTATACTTTTTTAAGGAAAATTTGGAGGTCAGTCCCTCTATATAAACTTGTTTGAATTTAAGTCCGTCAAGAAAACTTATTTGTTATGAAGTCCGTTTTTTGTCAATTTTATCATACTATTCCTTTTTTTTAAAGTGAAATAAAACTAAAAATTAAAAACTCATAAATTTTAGGAGTTTGACTAACATTAAAATCTTTTCTCTCATATATACATATATATATATATATATATATATATATATATATATATATATATATATATATATATATATATATATATAGTAGCAACATGCTCAATAAAAACAGTAACATACTCAACAAAAAAAACAGTAACATGTAAAATAAACAGTAACATAATAAAAAAAATAGTAACATGAATTTGAATTTTTCTATTCAAATTCATAGTAACTTTTTTTTGTATTTGAATGTTATTATTTTTTTTAATGTTACCATATATATATAATAGGAAAAATTTTAATGTTAGTCAAACTTTTAACCTATATATAAATATAAATAAATATGAGAGAAAAAAGATTAACTTTCTTTCAAGGAAGGGTATTTTTGAGAAAAAAAAAAAACAAAGCTATGAGATAAAAATAAACAAAAAATATTTGTACATAGCTCTCATTAAACAAAAGAAAGAGTTATGATATCGAAAAATAAATTTTCTAATATATACTACTGTTCTTAAGGTAAAAGGGACATAAAAAAGCTATAAGTATCAACCCTTTCCAATATATTATTTTGTGTATTAATAGAGTATTTATGCATTGTAGGTCTCTAGAGAGAAAATGTAGAGAAAAATCCAAATATAAAGATTAATTCCATTTAGTACCTAGAAAGATATTTTTTGACTTAGAAGTACTCTTAATCTATACTATACTATACTACTAATATAAAGTACTTTAGTAAGAAAAATTTTTGATTCACTATTTTACTCTTATAAATAATTGTAAATACCATAATATCTTTTTATAGTTAAATATTTAAATTACTATCATATTCTAATATGTTTAAATCTCCAAATTACCCCTAATATTTTTTTTAATTCTATATTCTCTATGTATAAATATCAATATTTATGAAAATTTAAAAATAAGCATTGATTAGAGTATTAATAATTATTGTTATTTTATTCAATGAATTATACGTTAAAACCTAATCAAATAAATTTCAAAATAAATTATTTTTATCTTTTTTTCTTATAGTCAGAATAATGCATCGTTGGGAACAGATAAATTTTTTTGAATTCAATAGTATAATATGAGTGATAAAAATATAATTTTTTATAAACTTGAGATGATATTTAATTTAAGTACAAATATACCTAAAACCTTTTTACTAATATTTTATATACAAAAATTATTTATGTACAACACAAACACACTATTATAAAAAGACTACAATGTGATCTAAATCTAAACTGTCATTTATTTTTTCATGTCAATAAGTGGTACAAATTGAGAATAAATTGTATTTTCAAATGGAAAAATAAACAGAAATTTGGGTCTAAATCACATTATAATTTGCCTCTATGGTACAAAAACTAAGAATTTGAGCACATTTCAAACGATATGTATCAAAAATATAAACACCACTAAAAAATTGTCAAAATATTTTAATTAACATTTAGAAACCGTTCCGCTGTCAAACTTTGACACTCTAGAAATCGTAAGTTTAACATTTTTTATACCGTCTAGGGACTAGTAATCCTTATTTTTCACAAGAAATGTTTTAAACCTACTTAGTTTACACTGATCAGTATCTTAACTCGATAAAATAGTCGTCACAAACATAGATATCTAGATACCTTCTAGGGACTAGTAATCCTTGTTTTTCACAAGAAATGTTTTAAACCTACTCAGTTTACACTTAACAATATCTTATCGGTAAAATAGTCGTCACAAACGTAGATATCTAGATAAATAGTTAAAAAAAAAAATAGAGAAAAAAGAAAAAAGATCTAATTTGATGACACGCCGACCCATTGTAAACATTAGATTCTCTCTTCTTACTTCAGAGCCGTGAAAAGAAAGTGCGAAGATGTCAAGCGAGCTGTCAAACCTTCCACGCGATGTCATCTTCGACATCCTCTCAAGGCTACCCACCAAATCTTTGCTTCAGTTCAGGTGCGTCTCCAAATCATATCCTCCAATTATCTCTCATCCCCACTTCATCAATTTCCACCTCTCCAATGGTGGCGGTGGTGACCACCATGTCCTCCTCCACTATGAATCCACCGACTACACCACAGAGTACTATTCAATTCGTTGCACTTCCACTTTCTATGAGACTATAAAACTTGAAATTCCTTTCAAAAGCGTTAATGGGTACTTTAGAATTGTGGGTTCAAGCAAAGGGATAATATGCTTATTCGATACCAATTACTTCACCTACATTGGTACGCTAATTTTTTGGAACCCTAGTATTAGAAAATTCAAGATTGTTAAAGATTCCCATTTGAGCCATCGATTTAGAGATAAGTTTTCACATATGGTTGTTGGATTTGGGTTAGTTTCCAAGATTAATGACTTCAAGGTGGTGCAGATTTTGTATGATTTGGATAATCAGGCTGAGCCTGATGTCTTGGTTTATGGGTTTGATGATGATTGTTGGAGGAAAATTGAGGCTGTTGCGCCATGTTTTGTAAATAAAGGTTGGTCTAACAATGTGTTTGTGAATGGGTGTGTTCATTGGATGGCTTATGAAAGGTCTAAAAAGTTAGATGGTAGGTACAATTCTATCATGGCTTTTGATGTGGGTGATGAGGTTTTTCGGGTGATGGAATTGCCTAGGAATCGTGAAATTAATTATGATCAAATGTTCTTGTTTCCTTCGGCTTCTGAGGAATCATTGTCTCTGTTCATTCTATTTCGAGATGGGGCTAGTGATCGATGGGAAATGTGGATTATGAGACAATATGGTATGGCAGAGTCTTGGATGAGACAATTCACTATTGTGCAATTGCAAATTTCATTGCCATTGATGATTAGGAATAATGGTGAAGTTTTGCTGGTGATGAACAATGGGAATTTGGTTTCATATGACCCTGAGAACCAACAGGTAAAGGATCTTGGAATATGTGGTTTGCCAAGTTCATTCCGTATAGTGAGTTACATGCCGAGCCTAGCGTTGCTTGATGGTGGAGAAAGAGCTGTCTAGGAGAGCCTGTTAGATTAAGAAATTTGCAAGGTGTTGTGTATGTTATCCTGACCGGAGATGTAGATAATGTGAAGGGTTGAATTGGAGGGAGTTGTCTAGGAGAGCCTGTTAGATTAAGATATTTACGAGGTGTTGTGTATGTTATCCTGACCAGAGACGTTGGTGCTGTGAAGGGTTGAATTGGAAGAATAAAATTTGAAGCATTGAAAGAGGAGGCCAGGCCAGGTATCCACTCTGTTTGATAATATCTTGGAATGTATTTTCTCAATTTTCCTACTATATCTTGTAACTATTGCATATTTTTAGGAAAAGATAGAGCAATGTAAATGTTAATGGCTCGATAGTTCAAGGATAACCTCCTGCAAAAAAGTTAAAGATCTCTTGTCTTTGGTTTATATATATAGTTGGACCAACTGTACTAATTTTGTATAAATCTAAGCACAGTTGTCAATTCCTTATGCTTTATCTGTGTTGCATGTCCTGTATAATTGACACAATAGCTAAAGCATTAAGTACAACTTTAGTTCTTGCATCTCTGGAATCATTTATTGTTAGTAGTTTGTGATTATCTTGCCTTAAGTTACATTTTCTTTTTCTTCGGTATATCATGATAATTGGTTACTGCCTAAAAGGCCATAGTTTGATGGGTGTTTTTTGATAAATTTGACTGCTTCAATCTCACCAGTTCTTAGTCCCCTTCCAGTCACTGGGGCGGCTTAGACTGGTAGTGAATTTGGCTGTTCGATTTGGTGCCATGGTGGTTTTGGGGGGTTGATGTAAATCGTATTAAGGAAAAATTAGGGATGAGAAGGGAAGAAGAAGGAGATGAAAAAAGAAGAAGGAGGGGATGAAGACAGAGAGAGAATTTGAGGAAGAATGATTCAATATCGATAATCAATAATAATCAAAATCTAATATCACAACAAATATGTATCCTTTATATGTATAAGAAGTTTACAAAAATCCTATATATATAAGGAGATCACAAACCCTAAAATAAATAAATAATCAAAATAACAACTAAATCCTTAAAAGTTAAAAGAAAATACTTAAAAGATAAATACTAAATTACTCTCATGATTAATCTAAAATATATATCCAATTCTTTCACGGTTTCCATCATTCTCCTTCGATTGAAAAAAATTCTCCTTCGGATAGTCTTCAAAGTAGAAGTACCCAACGAGAGCAGAACGAAGATGACAGAACACTTCATCTAAAATGCAAGAACCATCAATATCTTTCCATCAATTAGAATAAATGCAAGAATCTTCATCTGTAGCAATGTAAATCTGGTCACGTAGTACATCATCTATTTTTCTTGAAATACACGATGAAAGTGGAAAGATAAGAACTAGAGCTAATGCTGAGAAAGAAGCAATTTCACCTGTTGAAACACTTGATAACAAAATAGAAGGTTCTAAAGTACCTCGATTAAGTAACATGTTCTTCAAATAAAAATCTGGACTAATACTAACATTCAATAAAAAATTAAGCAAATAAGCATTAGATCCAAACTCAAGAATAACAAGACAATTCTCATTAAATTTGAACAAAAGCCATTCAGTGGGACAAGATATCAATGACAAAGGAGTAACTATAACACCCTGGTGCTGAAAATAAGAAAGTGCAGACTCAATTGAACACTTGACAATAGGCAAAGAATCAAAGTTAACACTCTCAAGTGGGGCAGAATCCAGAACAATGTCAACAATCTCAAGTTGGGAAGAATCCGTAATAAAATCATGATGACTTGGACAAGTAGACACAGAATAATCACTAATAAATTTTGCAATAAATGACTCGATTAGTTTAATATTTTGCATAGGTGTAGACTCAACAGACTTTTTCATAATTTTCAAGACCAATGATGGTTCAAGAATTGACACAAGTAAAGACTCACACACTTTTTTTTGATATGAACTCTTGTGGGTGCAAAGGAAGAGGACTCTAATCTGATGAAATTAAATGAGGGAGTTGGAAGTCAATATGAGTAACATTTTTCTCTTTATCCGATACTAGCATATCTAAATATTTTGTCACATTCGGATTAGGAAAGCATGCGAAAATAACATGGATCTCGTTCAAGTAATCATGATACTCATATGTGATGAAATTAAAATTAGAATGTATCCTGTCACGCTGTTTAGCAGACTGTGATTGAAAACCCATCAAGCTATAGTTAGATTTCTTTTGAAATTTCTCAACCTTTAGAGCATATTAATAGGTTGCCACTAACGTATTAAAAGTGTATAACTTGACCTCCCTACTAATTTTTTGTCTCAGTCCAAGAATAAACTGATTAATTGTCCAAGGTTCATCAACAATGTTACACATATACATGAGATAATCGAACTAGGCAAAGTAATCAGAGACACTAAAAGAATATTGTCTAAGATTGAGCCATTGGTCATAAACTTGATCCATAAAAGAAGTAGGCAAATACTTCTCTTTCAATTTATATTTCATTTCAACCCAAGTGATAGGTGATTCGTCTAAGGGATCTAGGCTTCTTTGGATTGTTTGTCAATACTGCTTGGTGGAACCCTCCAACATCAATTTAGCAAAACGGACGTAATGAAAATCTGATATGCCATGCTATGTTAATCAAATATTCTTCTAAATTAGCTAACCAATCCAAGAATTGATTGGGATCTGATGTACCACAAAATATAGAAGGATCTTTAATTGATTTGACAATAGGTGTTGAATCCTTGTAGACATACCTAGACTTGTTATGATGATGACCTCGAGGAGGAACTCTTAAACTAGAGTAAATATGTGGATTAGAGGCGTCATACATACTCATGAGTGAGTCTCGAAACAAGAGCATGGCACCAAAACAAGTTCAAAAATGTAATTGATAAACAATTTGGACCGTTTGCAAATTTTTTAATTTTTCAATGAATAAAAATATTAATTTCAAAATTTGATAGGAGTATGCATATCATAATCAAACTTTTATCCGGTGAAAATTCTGAAACTTTCTAGGGATAATTTTACAATTTTTGAAATTTTTGGGGGGGTGATTCTGTAATTTTTTGGATCTGTTAGGGATATTTCTACAATTCTGGAACTTCTGGTGGTGGTTCTGCAACTTCTGAAATTTTTTGGGGGTATTTCTATAATTTTGAAGGCAGCAGAGACTGTATTTTTTTTTCCGGCTGGTTCTGTATTTTTTTTTTCCACTGCTTATGGCAAACAGTACTGATGAACAGTTTTTCTCGATGGCAGTATTTTTCGATGAACATTAAGTGCGATGAATAGTAATGACGCGATTTTTGTGATTTATACGAATTAGAATTGGGCTCTGATACCAAATTGATGTAGATCGTAGTAAAGAAGAATTGGGGATGAGAAGGGAAGAAGAAAGAGATGATGATAGAGAGAGAATTTGAGAAAGAAGGATTCAATATCAATAATCAATAATAATCAAAGTTTATTCTCACAACAAATTTGTATCCCCTATATATATAAAGAGTTCACAAATCCTATATATATAAGGAGATCATAAACCCTAAAATAAATAAATAATCAAAAATGACAACTAAATCCTAAAAAATTAAAAGAAAATACTTAAAAGATAAATACTAAATTATTCTCATGATTAATCTAAAATATCTATCCAATTCCTACACGATTCTCATCGGGGGTGGTGAGTGGTGGGGGGTGGTTTGGGTGTTGTGTGTTTGCATGTCAGTTGGCTGTGCATCACTGTGATAGTGGTTGTGGTGTGGATGTTGGCTATCAGTTGTGAGTGGCTCCTATGGGTTGTGGGCTGGGCGGAGGCTGGTGGTGGACGTCAAAGGGTGTATCTTTGTGCTATGGAAACCCTGGACATTCTCATAAATTTTGAATTTTTGACATTCTTTTTTGTTTTTCTCCTTCTTTAAACAATTCCAGGGTAATTTAGTCATTTCACAAAAATATTTCAATTTTAGCTAAGATTTTGAAGGGTAAATAAGTCTTTCTTAATTAAATTTTCTGATTGAGGTTATTATTTTGCAAAGGTCAGGAGATCATTGTGTTCTTATGACAAAACTTAGGCAGTCCGAGTGAAAATTGCCCTCATCATTATTATTGGTAGTAGTAGTAGCAGCTGTAATGTACAGCGTATGCTCTAGGTGCTGTATGCTACTCAACTTTAGATGGGGTAACTCTTTGTTTAATTGTTTGTCGCATTGGTTGTGCTGTAAAGACTGGTTGTTATTTACCCTTTGGTGTTCCATTGTCAAGGGAAAAGGAGGGATTTTGTAACACTCAGTAGCGGATGCCTCCATGGTTTCCCCTCATTTTTCAAAAAGATCTCCAGTAACTAATTTGACGATATAAAATGTTCATCATCGTGCTGTTTGAGGCCGTTTATTCTTTTGCAGTATTGTCTCATGAATTTGTAGCCGGGATCATGAAAACAGGGTTTTTGTAGTCCTACTCTATTTTGTTTGTTAAAACTGGAGGGAGTTTAGAGGGAAGCTGGGAAATCGGTCCTATGCATGGGAACCAAGTCGTCTGTCCTCGAGTTGGTGACTGATACCACCACTGCAGATTTGTATTAAAGTGATGGTAGGTAGGCAAGCCTCAACCTCAGCCTGCACCAGTTTGTCTGTACCTTGTTAAAACTAGTGGGCGTTTTTTGAGCTATCCATCAGGTTATTATTTGCTTTGTTTCTTTCACTTGGGACTGGATATTATTCATTTGTTATCAGTTCTAATGAAGTAAATGTGCCATGTTGCAGATGCCTAGATAGGGAGTTTTCAGTTGTTTTTATTAGTGGATTATTATATCTAGTAGTACTTTCTACCTTTATATAAAAGGGATTGGCCATGGCTGAAGATGAAGAAGTCTTACAAGGACTGGAGAATAATAGGTGGCTAAACATTTCAAAATTCTGTAGAAGAGAGAAAATTCTGGCTGAAATCAGTAAATACGTATCTGGCTTTATATTTTTTTTTGCTGTGTTTTGTTAGGATTTCTATGTGAAATTCTATTAGATAAAGTATGTTTAAAATTTACATATATTTTCTCGTGTGTGTTCATAAAAAATAAATAAATACTGTTCGTTGCATAACAAACAAGGTTGGTGTCCAAAACATGCAGGTGTTGTAGGTTGCTTGACCGTCTAGAAACCTACTTCCAGTGAGGCTGATTAGATTGATGCCCGGGTCTGTCGTGGAAAAAAATAGAATTGAAATGTGGCAATTGAGGTGCCTGGTCTCAAGTGTGGTTGCTGATGAGCCGATGTCTAATACAGTGGCTGTGCTGTCGTATTGTCTTTTGAGACTGGATCATGTGGTCTACAAAAGCCCCATGTAGGTTGCTTTTTAAGCATTAAATGTAGAACTTAGGAAGATATTTAACTCAAACTACTGTAGGGGATCTGAACCCTTTTTAGACAACCTTCAACTGAGAAGTCCTTTTGAAGTTAAACTTGACTTTAGATTTATGGTGGATTGTCCGATTATTTTGTTTTTATTATGTCCGTACTATGTTTGGAAAAAGATGTGGGATTAATATCCAATTATCATTGTGTCACGGGTTCAAATTTTAAAAATCAAATCAAATCAAATCGCTCTAAAATGGGGATGAATGTCGTATATCAATTACGTCTTTCAAGTTCTTCGATAAACGGAAATCTTGTGCATTGGTTACAGCACATATTTTGTTCCTAAAAGAAAAAAAAAAACTAAGAATTTTGTGACGGAGTTTCTTCTGAATCCTCTATCCATTTGGTATTCAAGTGATATAAAAGAAAATTGTTATTTATACCGAAATATGAGGATAATTAATTATAATTATTGGATAGAAGGTAAGATGTATGTAATATTAGAACTCATAACTAAATTGTTCGATATGTTAGTTTTTGATTAAATTTTTAAATTAAGTCTCTAAAACACTGTCCTCGTTATAAAAAGAGGGGAAAAAACGTTTGTTTTTCTAGCCAATCGTATCAGTCATGTAATGCTAAATATGAATGCCATTAGAATGGTAGACAAAAAGCTCTCCCTTTTGGGAACTGTGATTGTGAACCGTGCCGATGTGTTAAAGGGTTTTTTTTGGCCCCCCAGGGGGAGGGGGGGGGGGGGTGTTTGACCAATCCCTTTGAGTGATTGGTCTAATGAGTAAGAATTCGAAATTTTTTATTTAATTTTTGAATTTAAGTCTTTATAATTATGATAGTTCGGTAGGACAAAACTTATTTTTTATCACCCAAAACACCTTGTGAAACCTTAGTTTCTATTTTGACGTAGGTGTGATGGGTCTTGTGCAAATAATCGTGTAGTTATGCACATATGTTTTTATATACCTGGAAAAAAATCAAAAAATAAAAATGAAAAAAGACACTTACAAAAAGGAACTTGACACCTTTTTCCTTTCTTCCTAAGAAACGTAATGACATGGCGGAGATTACTCATATTTCTTATATGTTTCCTTTTCTTCCTAAGAAAGTTAATGACATGGTGGAAATTGCTTATTTCTTATATGCTATACTTTCGTAGGTATGTTAATCTAATTCTTTATCCATGATGCATCTGATAGTGTCACAGATCAGGACTTTGATATGTTTTCTTGGTATTTTATAGCTTGTTCAAGTGACTGGGATTTCGATCCACTTCGCTTATTTTCAATTTTTTTGCATGCTTAATTAACTAACAAGGACAAAAGATAAAGCTTCGAGTGACTTGTTTTAGACGTTTTTTGAACAAAGACTTACGTCACTCTATGCTCCTCTAGTACACTCTGACTGAGTAGTCCTTTACTAACACACCGTGGACAATCTAATATGGCGTTATTTGATTCTTTAGGTGTCATGAACATCCATTATGATCATTCCAATCTAAGCACCAATTTTAAGTACCCACAAAACTATATTTATGGTCTTGGACCTCATAGTGAAGGTTTGGTTAAAAGAGAATTATATATATATATATATGCTTATACGCTAATGAATGACATATTGAACTCTTAGCGATAGTTCAGTGACTGAATTTGTTCTATGATTATGGAAAAACTCGAGTTCAATATTTATTAAATTCTTAAAGGTCAATCACCATCATTCCTTAGGTGTGTAGATTTGTTCGGATTACAGTGATCAGTATTTGAGTTTGAGAGAATAGTTGATACAAATTTAAACACTTATCAGTATTTGAGTTTGAGAGAATAATTGACACAAATTTAAACACTCAGAAAAAAAGCACAACCAATTTGAAGATCGACAGAAGACGAGAAAGAAATATCGGTCCCCAAGGTCTGTCTGTTCAGTGGCTAAAACTTTGTTTGACCTGGTGCTAATAAAACAGGCACCAATACTACTATGCAGCCCCACACGTTTAAGCACTTTGTGGAAAATAAGGTGAACAGAGACCAAATCTAAGAAGATAAAACATTGCAGTTTCTTGGAACTGATATGAATTACTTTTTATCATCATTCATTGCCTTATCTTCTAGAAAGTCTTACTACCTAAAGCAGTGATGACATCAATTATTGATTTTCATACACTTGACGTTCTTTTCATCAACGTAAACAATCCGAATTCTGATTTCTACCATTGTTTAACTTTTTTTTTCAACAATTAGGATGTCTGGGTTAAATTATATACATCTCGATTAATTTTCTCTCAAATTCAATCAAAGATAGATCATCCACACTAAAACTATGGTATTAATGAGAGATAAATCTCTTATAGTCTGGTCCAAATTTTTTTTCAAATTTAAACTCAAGACGTCACACATTGTTTATCATGACGAATATAGATATTCATAAGCAATTATGCATCAAATTAAGATTTTTTCGAACACCCACATTATCAAAACATTTGTACTTCAGCATATTTGATCTATTATAATTGTATTTAATCAAATTTACATCGAGTTTAGTTAAGTTTATACTAATCAATTTACTTGGCAAGTACGCTTGTTGATTATCATATCCAACTAAACTAAAATTTAAACTTGTTAAATTCGTCTCGATTTTGAGTCGGGTTCATGGGTTGAATGAAGAATTGCAGGTGTTAATACGAGGAGGAGGAGGAAATTTAGTTAGAACATTGTAAAGATCAGCTTGACTAAGATTACCATTATTCAGAGTTGAACTTCTGGATGGACGTGGCCAATTTTTTTTTTATTTAAATTCGCTGTTATCTACAAAGTTTGACTTTTATTTTTCTTAAAGTCAGTAACTATTTATGATGAACCCAAACTGCAGTTGAGTATTATAAAATGTGGGGTAAATTTCATAATTAGTCCTTGAATTTTGATTTTGATTTTAATTTGGTCTCTAAATTTTTAATTGTTTCAATTTAATCCCTCAATTATTAATTTTATCTTAGTTAAGTCATTTCGTTAATTTCCCTATTAGATCAAATGAAAACATATGATCTAACGATAGAAATTGATCAGATCAAATTAGTCTCCATTTGATCTAATGATAAAAACAGATGGAAAGATTTAATTGAAATAAAATTCATAATTGAAGGACTAAATTAAAATAATTAAAAATTCAGGGCCAAAATTAAAACTAAAACTAAAATTCAGGGACCAATTATACTTTTTACTGAAAAAATGTGTGCTTGTTTGGCCCTGAATTTTTAGATGGGTGAGCTATGAGCACAGCGTAAGCAAGGGGTTCTCATGACAGCAACGTTATACGTCACTTGCATTGATTTTATTTTAATTTTTCGTGATTATTGATTTTAAAAATTATTAAATAATATTATAATAACAAAAGATATGCTACTAAAATATATTTTTTTTTTTTTGAAATATGAGTGGGATCTCTTCCCGGACTTTTCATTAGCATTGCGCAAGGCACAACAATTCTAAACACCAAGTGAGAAACCGATATGAAATTAATGATTCAACTAATAAATCGATAACTTATTAAACACATTAAATAATTAGATTAATATAAACGAATCTAATACGATACAAATCCACTAAATTAGGACATGAACACTTGGTACAAAATCCAATTCTGGCCCAGGTTCGACGATTCTTGGTCTGCTTTTCTGGCCTCGCCCTTCATCTCTGACTTTCCAGTTTACAATTCTGTCTTCAAGGAGAATTCTATGGTTCACCGATGTCTGGTGCAAATGATGAGAGAGAGAGAGAGAGAGAGAGGTTATTTCTATTTGGCCCTTTGAAATGGTGTTTTTTCCTTGTAAATCTATAATTTTTCCTTACAATTTGAGAAAATCCAGCTCAAATACCAAGAAAATTTTATTAATAATAAAGATAAATTATAAATTTAAATATTTTGAATTCGAATTTTAACAATCTCTTCGAACTAAGTTAAGAGAGATTTATTTTTTTAAACACCTTAATCTTGACATGAGTGGTTTATCGGACCGAGGAGATGATTATTGAAAGTGCACATAAACCGTTGCCGATACGCCGGCGAACCAAAAAGAAAAAGAGAAAATCCAACTCCCTATCCCAGTCAAAAGTTCTCTCTTTTCCTCGTCATTTCCTTCTTATATCTTATCTCTTTCCCACAAACTTCATAACCAAGGCGGGCTCTTCCTCAGTTAAGAAGCTTCTCTCTCTCTCTCTCTCTCTCCGTGACAACCAATCAAATCCACCCTTTAAAACTTGATCTCATTGTCTAGTACTGCAATCCCATAGTGCCTTTTTTTTCTCTCAATCATATACCATTTGAGCTCATTTAACACCCACCCAAATTGATTTCAGCTGGTTTCTTTCATATCTGTTGCTTCTGATTTTTCCCATTTATGCCTTCTTGTTTCCCTTTCTACTAATTCCGGAGCTCCAACTTTTATTCCCTCAACCTTAATTGTCTAATGTTGCTACTTGGCATAATCTAAGTAGCTTTTCACACTCAGTTATCTTTTTCCTATAGTTCTGTAATCCTTGTTCGATTTCCAAATGGAAAAGGCATGCAATTGGGAGCATCAGACTCTTATAAATGAGCTAACCCAAGGGAGGCAGCTAGCAATCCAGCTCAAGAACCAACTTGACAAGACGAAATCGCCAGAAAGCTCTGAGTTTTTGGTTGGAAAGTTGCTTTCTTCCTATGATAAAGCACTCTCGCACCTAAACTTGAGTGCTTCAATGGGAGAGACTTTTCCGGTAATCGGAATGTTGGAGTCCCGTCATTTCACTGCCGGAAGTCCAAGGAGTGAGGACTCGAACCGGTACAGCAAGGATCAAAGTCACAGAAGTGTCTTGAAAAAGAGGTGAATTTAGGCCTTGCCCATTTTATTGTATCTTGTGAGTCAGCCATTTTTGGATTGAGCTTGATCTAAATTCGATTCGGGTGTTTTTCGATATGCAGAAAGATATTGCCAGAACGGAGGAAGCAGGTGAGGGTTTGCTCGGAGACAGGGCTGGGATGTCCACCTGATGATAGTTATGGTTGGAGAAAGTATGGGCAGAAAGAGATCCTAGGAGCCAAATATCCAAGGTATGCTTTTCTCCTTTTCCAAACTAGCCTTTCCCTTTCAGGCGTACAAACAAGCAGTATCCAGGCCATTGGGCTTTGTAGTTCATGGCATCAAAATCCTTACGCCCATAAAACTTGATAATTCCATAATCACCAAGAAAGACTTTTTTTTTTTTATGTGATTCGGTAGATCACTATTACAATGAAGAATCAACTATTATAAATTTTGAATAACGCATCTATATCATATTATCTTGACCAAAACAAATCTATATTATATTAAAAAATACCGACAAAGCACTGGAAAGAAGCACAAAAAATTGCAGGACAAAACACCCAAAGAGCGGAACGGAAGTAATTAATTCAATTCTTGCATTTAGTAAAGATTGATTCCTTGACCTCATAGTTGTAGAATCTCAAGAGAATCAAGGGGACCTACTAGGATAAGGCCAATTGGTACAAGAAGATCTATTTAAGTGGGGTTTTTAGGTGTTTTAACTTCGAGGTTGAGAAAATGGGCAAGATGGAGCCATTTGGACATCAGGACATGTACTGTTTTCTGACTTCTTCAGGAAAATACCCATCTGTTTGGAAATGTCTTCAGCTCAATCTTAAGAGCAGTGCACGTCAAACTGTTCAAGAGACAGCTACATGGCCACTTGCATACTTACTTGATGTTATTGGTCTAAGCCCTGACCACTTGCTCATACAATTTCGTATCTTTACTTAGCTCACTTCTCTTAATATCCACGTGCATACCTTTTTTTTACATGCCTATAAACTTTAATCTCATTTTAATTCGACTATTAAAATTCCTGTTTTTTTTATAACATGAATTGTTGATATTACAGAGCATACTATCGATGCACCCATCGGCATGCTCAGGGTTGTTTGGCCATAAAGCAAGTGCAAAGATCAGATGCAGACCCTTTCATTTTTGATATTACCTGTATGGGAAGACACACCTGCATCCATGTCTCACATTTGATCCCCAAACCGACCTCACTTGAAAAAGAAGAGCCAAAACAGAACAAAGATCACTACCCACCACAACAAGAACAAGAACTTCAAATCCAATCATCAGGGATAGGCCTTAAAGTTGAAACTGATGACTTGGGCATTAGAGAGGAAACTTTCCCTTCCTTTTCCTTTCCTAACACGCCCGTTGAACCAGAAAAAGTGAAAAGCCATTCTGTTCCAGAGTCCATGAAAGAAAACAATTTCAAGGGTAGTTATTCTCCGTCGTTTGTATATCCAATAACATGCGAATCCAACATTTTCTCATTGTCACCGCGCCAGATGAACAACTTTGGAATGAGCCACAATATGCCAAGTTCAGAATCCGATCTTGCTGGTATAATTTCTGCCCCAACATCAGTCACCAATTCACCAATTGGGGACTTGGATTTCTCACTTGATGAAGTAAACATTGATCCCAATTTCCCATTTGACATTCCTGAATACTTCTCCTAACTTCGCATTCATTCAACCCACCAGAAGGCAAAGGAGGATCAGGCATTGAAAGAGAGATGACATATGTTGACACAAGTAGTTAGTACTCCCCATAGTTAATGGTGATTCTTATTTTGTAAAAGTTTTGTCCTTTTGAGGTCAAAGGTTCAAGTCGGCCTTCCCCTTCCCCTCCCAAAACAAAAAATTCAAAAAAATAAATAAATAGTTAATGGACTATGAGTCTGGGTGGTTACATTTTGCTCCCATCTCAAACAGATGATGCTAGCAAATGCTAAATTTAAAGGGCAAAACATACATAACCAAGTTCAGCTATTCTTAGGCAGATCCTTTATTTACAGTTCCATCTTTTATAAATTAATGCTTGCCAGGGAGAGAGAGAGAGTAATGGCATGATCAAACAAACCTTCAATATTTTGTCACTCTTGCTTACCCCTATATAGATTAGAGGTCTATTAAGGGCTGGCCAGGACAGTGTTGCCTATGTAAGAGGGGATCAAAAACCCTCATTAACTTTTCCATTGTATCCAAATAAAAAAAAACTTATTCTTTTGAATGCACTTGGGAAAGCTTCAAAATTTATTTTTGCTGTATACTTTTTGTCTGTCTGTAAACCCTTCATTGTGCCTCATTAACCAAAATCTCTCTATTTCTTCAGGAATTCGCCCAGCTCTCAATCCCCACCTGAACATTAATCCATTAAACTCAATATTATTACTACTGATATAATAAGTTCTGTCACTTAATTCTGTGGCTTTTATCTTATACTTTAATTTCTTGGGTAGGAATGTATATTTTCAACCAAACAGTTATATATATATAGGATTAAACAAGTACAATACAATGATAAAGCTCATATGGGGAAGGTCAAGACAATGTATCATCTCCACTGCAGGTTGAATACCTACTTTTCTGGCAAACATCATGATTTAAAAAAAAAGATTTTTTTTTTTTCGTTCTTTCTTTTTTTGACTTTGCATTCCCAGAGTGCCTACTATTTTTTCTCTGTAACCAAACAGCAAATATAATCCGGCTAAAAATACTCAGTTGATTTGCCACAAGAAATAGATAAGGTTCCTTACCTGTCTCCGACAAGCTTGTGCATTCTGTATATGAGATCTTTTTCTTGTTCAGTCATGTTAATGAACTTCCACTCAATGCTGTTCACCTCTACAAAATATCATCATGGAGAAATTAGAACAAAACCCCATAAAAGAAAAAAGGAGAGAGAGAAGAAACCAGGAAGGTGAAAAGAAAGAAAGTGAGAGGAAACAAAAGGAAATGATGGAAAACTGACCTTCATAGCAGCAAGAACTACAGGTACTGTGTTTCTTCTGGGGACGTTTATCCATTGTGGCTTTATATAGGTAATGAAAAGAAGAGTAACACATGAAACTGAGGGTGACAATGGAGAAACTCTCATTTAAGAGTATTCCTTTTTTAGAGAGATAAATTTCAAAACAATGGGTTTCAGGGAGAGATTTTCTGGGCAGGAGGAATTTATCCTCGTAAATGGCCACGTGGATGGAGGTGTTTTTGCTCCGACCAAGAAAAAAATTAGTTGAATTACGTGTAAATTAACCCAAAAATTTTTTTATTTTTTATTTTTTTTATTCGTATATAATTTTTGTGTGATTGTAATTAGATAGAAACAATGAATGGAACGGCTGGTCCTACCAAACAAACAATCCAAACTGCATGGTTTGACTTGGGGTTGTTATGCAGCAGGTTGATAAAATTGAGTTTTGGAAAAAATCAGGGGATTCCATCCATCACATTATTTAGGGCTTTTCATATTTTGTACCATGAAAAATTTTAAGTTTTCTAATTTACACTCTCAAAGATTATATTTCTCATATTGTACCATCAATATATCAAAAGCGTTGCAATGTGATCATTCTGTTGGCTTCCATTATTTTTTTGTCAAAAATCAACTCATTGACACTGACAAAAAAACTAACGAAAAGTTAATAAAATGGTTACATTACAACACTATTGATATATTAAAAGTGCAATGTAAAAAATTTAGTTTTTAAGGATACAAAACAAAAAAACTTAAAATTTTTTAGGGTGCAAAAAACAATTTGCCCCAATAATTAACTGAGCTTGATTTCCAAAATAAGTTTTGAAATAGAGCAATGTTATTAGGACTTAAAAATTTATTTAATTTGTTGACATGTCAAGTGATATAATCCTAATAAAGAAGTTCAATAGTTACTGTCACAACAACATTATTAGACCATGTCAATATCACATCATTAAATTATCAAATTAAGTAGTTCTCGGTAGTAGCTTTAAAGTATGCTCTCTCGAAACAAGGGAAATTGTAAACGTAAGATTCCTCACAATTCTAAAAGTGGAGAAGTGTGGAAGCTCCTAGTACAAGTAAAAGACTAAACTACTTTCATTGTACAAATTTTAAACACCCACACAATCCTCCCAAACACATTTAATTCTTGAGTCCTAAAAAATTACTTAATTTATTGACTTAATAATATAACAATAATATAATGTAACGATGTTGTTGTGACTAATCATTAATTTAAGACTAATCATTAGTCTTAAATCTTCCATCCCACAAACAGCAGCAAACTCTGGAGAGTTTCAACAATATAATAATCACTAGATAGATATTGTGCACTTGGCACATATTCAATAAGTCACTCCTGAATTTGAAGAGGACATCCTTTATTTTTGTTTTTGGTCCAAGCTTTAAGAGGATTTTGGTTAAAACATGCATACATTGCTTACTTGTTAGATGTTAAGCATTATTAGTATCACTATGATGATCCAATATACACTTTGCTAGAGAGAAATATGGAAGTGTTTTATAAGTGTAAGCTTCAAACTTTTATTGTGCAACCAATTTTAAAGCCGTACATGCCTGAACCAAAACGGGTGATATTATACAATATAAACTTGAAACATTATAATTGTTATCAGAACTATTGGCCCTCGCAGAATGAAAACCACATAAACCTGGTACAGATCTGGAACATTACAATAACAAAATTGAACAGAGGAAACTCAGGAAGGAACTGTTATTAGATTAGAATGCAGTTCTCATACATCTGCCAGGTAAATTCATAGAATCACTAATTTCTGCAAAGAACACAAATGCTACTAGATCCCGAAAAATATGACAATCTGGACACCCTATAGCAACAATCTGACAAAGAAGAACTACAATCACCTTAATATAAGGCCTGCATAACAGATATTTGAACTTCTTTACATACCCTGCAGTGTTTTGGATTGGCTACCAGACAAGTGATGGTAACTTCCAAGCTGTGACTTTGACTACTTCCCTACTTGACATGAGAATTACAACAAGTGAGGACTTGACATGACATGAGAATCACCAAGGTTGCCCTTTCCCTCCAAGTCGCCGAGCCAGCTCCCAATCCTTTTTCACTGTGCAACCAAAAGAAAGGGTTATCAGTGCCTTGTAGGTGAAATAGCACAACAGCGAGAATTTTTCAGATTAATAAACAAGATCTCAAGCCATGATGTTGTGAGCATAGAGTTAACAATTGAGGACTCCCCAGTCTAATCCATAGGTAAAACCCCCCATCCTTATCGCACATAATCCTTTTTACATGCACACATAGCCATGAAGAACGAATATGAATCTGAGAAGTGGACTAATGACTGGGAAGAAAGAATAGACGGAGCCTCATTTAAACAGACAATAAGCATTCTGGTAACCAACAAGTGTCAAATATGATATCAGGTCAAAAAATCTAAAAGAACATTTGTAAACCTCCTTTCGAAATCTTATCGTTTTGGCTTTTTGTTGACTGTTTCAGATTGCTCACTTTGCAGCCAAACCCAAGCATTCCAATATGAACTTTTTTTCTACATCCTCAGAAGTTTCATCCCCAAACAGGATCACAGAAGAGCCCATAATATAAGAACCATGAGGTTCATGAAAACCGACAGATTCAGGAAAAGAGAGAAAACAGATCTACAGAAACTGCTGATGCTTGTCCTCATGTACAATTTTCTGCAGGACAATGCCAAATTGTTCAAAGGAGCACAATATCTCCTCATTCAGAAAGAATGCTTATAAATTGCTGTCTACGCACAGAGTGGCAATAGGGCTTGTTGGTACATAAATAGCCCACACACGTGATGTAATTGAATACCCAGTTTTATACTGCTGAAGAACTATGCCCTTTTTTTGGGCTTTTCATTTATGCAGACAGGACTGCAAGAACTACAACATCAAGGCATGGCCTGAACTAACTCTGTTAATCAGGATCCCTTGCCCCAAAACCCCAATAGGAGAAAAAGATGACAAAAGTATCAATATAAACCAAACTTACTAAGCGTAACACGCTTTGCATGAATTGCACATAGCATTGCATCTTCAAACAAATGAACCAAGTAATCCTCCGCTGCCTACAAAAAATAGGCAACCATCAAGTATAACGTGTATTTTATGATGACTATGATGACCTAAAGCAGCCTCGCCTTCCCACATTTAAATCAAAACTATAAGTTGATTGAAAAAAAAAGGCCCTTATCCCACAAGGGGGTTTTTTATATTTCAATAAATAATAACAGTGGAAATTCTGCACATTGCACAGTCTTATCTATACCCAACTCTTATTTTGCAATTTACACTCCATCCAGAGCACAAACCTGGACATTTATGATTCAACTTGCAGGAGAACTCTAGTCACTGCAGAAAGCAGGGTGTATCATGACAATAACACAGAGTGCGTGTGTAAGTAGGGAGTGATGTGAAGAATTCATAAAATGGCATTGCCTATATGAGAGTTGACTGCAATTATATTCATTCCTCCCAGAGGTTTGGTCACCAGTAAATGAGATACCAAGCTCATGTTTACAAACACACAGCTAACCCAGAGTCACAAATCCAAGCATTAGGCTCATGCAGCCATGCACAACAAAATAAGCAAAACTAACAAAACTTATTGGCTTTCCCACTTGCAATCATTTACTTGTACAGAGTCCACAGAAAACCCTCACATTAAATTGGATAAATAATAATACCTCCTGAAGAGCAACTAAGGCTTCAGCTGTCCAACGAGTGATTCCCGGGGCAAAATAGGAGCTAATCTCTCTTACCTGCCAACAACAGATAGAAGCTGTAAGCACAGAATGGTTCAATCTACTGATAAAATCAAATTCATAGAAATTGATAAGTACTGTGTACCACAAAGACAAGTTTGCAACAAAATGTGCAGACAACTGAGTTTGAAACTTTTATTTCAGATTCTGGTTTGCCTTCGTAGGATTATGACCAGCTAATATATTAGTGAGTTAGGCAAACAAAAAAAGAAACAAAGGTGTGGGTGTGTGGATGTTGGTGGAGGGGTATTAAGAATTGTTGAGCTGACTTGAAGTTAATAATTGAGTCGATAAAATAAAAACTTTCTACAAAGCACAATTCTCATCTAATCCAATTTCCAAGTGTTTCAACAAACATATTCAATTCAATAAAATCTTGTCTCAACATTTTTTGTGTCAAATACATAAATCCACTTTCATCATTGAACTCTATCAAGGGTTGTGCTTTCTATTACACTATAAGTTATCATGTCTTTCTTTATTATTTCACTTAAAGTCAATTTTGATATACCTCTACCCCTACACTTACCTTCAATAGCTATCATATCACTCTTTCTCATGGATATCGTAGTAAGTCATCTATAGAAGTATTCAAAACACCTAAGTCGATTCTCTCTCAATTTATTCACTACAAGTGTCACCTCTACTTTTTCACAGATAATTTTGTTCTTAATTCTATCCCTCCTAGTCTTACCACGCATCATCTTAACAGTTTCATTTTCGTTACATTCAATTTGTGAACATATTATTTCTTAACACTCTATACCATACAGCATATCGGGTCTTATAACTTGTAAATGTCAAATTCATGACTATTCAGAAGGCCAAAAGCTAGTTAGTTCATGGATATAACAAATAAATGAGACCTGGTTCCTCAAACAATCATTTAACTTTTTTGAGGTTATGAAACCAGTGGTCATTTAAGTTCAATTCGCTGACTCTTAGAAGGGGAGAAAAATTTGAGCCAGGTGTATAATACAAAAAAAAAAAACGAGTAGGCGTTTAATTATTTAATCACAAAAGAAGGATGTCAAACAGAAAGTTCGGGACAGATTTTAGAAGCTAGGCAGTATACATTGTTTAAAACCACCCTAAATGATATCATTACACCAATTCACCATACCAAAGTTCTGATTGTGAAATTCTGATGATGACATTTCCATAAATAAACTTTAAAATTTAAATACAAGGGGAAGAGGGACATAGATTGTGCATTGTTATTGAAGTGTGTTCACTACAAGTACAAACCAACAAGCAGTTTGAAAACTGAGAAACCAATTGTAAGAGAGCAATAAAAATTTAAGTTTGAATTCAACAACTTTTATCTCAGTGGACCAGATTCCACATGCCTTTATTAATCTGTTAATTATTCAAGTAGTTAACCACTAATTACATAATCAGTGAATCAGGCTTTCAAAATTTACAGAAAATAACACCAATTATGCCTATACATGAATGCATAAGCCTTTACAAAACTATATGCAAACTATTATACTTCCTCAACTGGACAACTTCGAAAAGTCATGACTAACTTTTTTTGAATCTGCTAAGTGATTCCCTATTTCCTGTATTCTCATTCCAAGTATTGCCATGGTTGTGAGTGATAATATCAGGAATTTTATACTCAGTTAGCCATTTCAAAATGGATTTGGTTCAATAGTTCTTCAAAATTCCTGATAAATTAGGTTTACAGCTATGTCCAGATGTGCACACCTATATTCCACTGATTGTCCTCTGAGGCTTTGATTGATCAATTCCATTAACATCTATCTGTTAGCCACACAAACACAAATACTTGTTTGTGTGACTATTTCATATCTAGGGATTAAGATGAGAGAGAGTGAAATTACAGTTCGAATGAAAGGAGCAGCAGGAATGAGAAGGGTATGGGTCTTCTGGAAATGCCGAATCTCACGAAGAGCCACAGTCCCCGGCCTGTGACGGTATTGCTTTCTCTGCCTCTGCGCCGATGATGGACCTGAAAAAACACAGGTTTTTTCATAAACAATCAGAACAAACACCCTCAGTATCACCACCACATTAAAAAAAATCCAAATCAAAAACAATGTATACACTCACTTTGCGGAACATTCCTTGCACCTCTTCTTGTAGGAGTCTGCAAATGTGTACCAAAAGCAAATAAGCAATCCCTCGTATAACACACGCACACACGCACACACATATACATACAGAGAGAGAAAGAGAGAGGGGGGGTACTAAAAATAGTAGCTATACCGAGCTCTTTGAAGGAGATGCAGCAGCTGTAATTTCAGAGAGAGAAAGAATTAGGGCTTAAGAAGGGTTCTTCCAGATATATACACACACAGATGTACATATATACATGCGGAGAGAGAGAGAGAGAGAGAGAGAGAGAACTGACCGGAGGGTTGGGGGCGATTTCGTTTCTTTTGGACGAGGTGTTTGGTTCTCGCCATGGGCTTTGACGAACTGAGGAGAGAGAGAGAGAGGGGTCTCAGAATTTCTTATAGAAATAATTCATGGAATTAAAATGAGTTTGCACGAACAAGTTTTCCCGCTCGATTTCATTTTGATTTGGCGTCCGCTAATTTTTGGGCATAGGGGATGACACTGCACTCCTAGTCCCTAGACCCGCATAACGGTCGGCAAACAGCTGCGGCCCGGTGGATTTAGCCATGGGCTAACTCTTCGGGTCAGGCGGTCCAAGGAAAAATTCCTTACGATTTTTCTATTTCTTTTAAATTTAATTTTTTTGAAAAAGAAAGCCCTTTAAGAAGCCATTAGAGTTGGCCTGTAGACCGGGCTTTTGGGTCGGCTATTTTTGCTGCGATGGCCCTTGCTCATTCCCAGACTTGGCCTAAAATTGTCAAGCTGGGCCAACTGGGCTTGTGAATGCATTCTTCTTCTTCTTTTTTTTTTTTTTTTGGTTTTTTCGATGGGTAAATATAGTTTCATTGACATACGGTATTTTTAAGACATGTCTTATGACTTCGTGTGTCTCACACAAAGAATTTTTCCTTTGTTCTTCATCTAAGAAATTAAAATTCAATTTTCGATCAACATGTTCAAAACTTTGAAAACTCTTCTTATATATAGTTGAAATTTTGAATTAGATGTTCATTTTCTCAACATTGATCGAAAAATGATACTTCCACGTCCCCACGAAGCTGCTTAATCAATCAAGAAAAATAAGAGGTAGTGGCAGCTACGTAATCTACTATTGGGTTAGTCATTTTCTTAATTACTTTTTGAGTCCGATGGACTATTGCTGTTAGAATTTATTAATAGCAAGGCTAAACATGACTCTAGAGAGTTACCAAAAAATGAAGTTATCTTCTCCTTTCATTCTCTTCTTTCTTTTTGATTTTGACATAGTTGGCAAGATCAGGGCCTTTCTCGCTGGGCAAGTGCATCCGCATCCGATTCTAAAGTCCTTTCTGAAACCACTTCAAGTTTAGTTGCTGAAAGATAAAGATAAGACTTTCTAGATGAGATTGAGTTCCACGAATATGCAGGCTAGAAAGATGTTATTTGCTGCTATTCCAGACCCACAACAAAACTAGTTGTTAGAATCTGTTTTGCTCATGCTTTCCCGACATTTTTCTATGACATTGAGCAAATATAACTCCATCAGAACTAAGCTATAACTCAAACTGGTTTTCTACTTTCACTGTCTGGAATTAAGGAGTTATCCAATTGCATACTTAACAATGAGAGTACTGTAGTTTCAGTGAAGACTAGCATGCATTTCACTCAGTAATTAGTTACCAGGGAATAGAGACAAGCTTAGCATTCCCAATTCAACAAGTTGATGGCCATTCATGCATGTTTGTTCATTGAAGATCAAGTCCACATTGATTTTTTTTTTTCTTTTCTTTTCGGTCCACATTGATGATGATGCTGATAAACTCATTCAGGAAGTCTACAACAACAAAAAAACCAAAAATACTTGAAAAAACATATTATCTGAAGTCTAGGATTATTGATATGCCTTTCACCCTATTTCTACCCATATTCCTTCTACTTCTCAAGAATGTGAGAGTGATTGCTTCACTAAATCAATAAAGAGCTATTACAACATAAACATCTACATGAGATCAAAAATATATATATATATACAAGAAAACAGAATCACATAAAACTTACATAGAAGGGCGTTGTTGCACTTTCCAGGGGAAAAAAGGCATTATTGCAATCTGTATTTCAAGTGCAAGTCATGGAAACTGAAAAAACTTACATAAGGAGAGCATATATTGCAGAACTCAGAACACAGCTTTGGGAATTCCCTGCCACTAAAGCTTCTGGTTGTACTGACTAAAAGATTTCAATTTTGCAACTCTATGGCTGTGTAGGGGTAGGAGATGTGGGAGGCTTGAAATCTTGATACTGCAACCACAAAGTGGAGAGAGATAAATAGTTATCAGATCATATACACAAGTGCACAGATAATAAATTCAAGGTTGATCGTATTGCCAATTAGAGTTTTTAAAATATAAGCTTTTTAAAACTACCTCACAGCCATCTCTCACTTTCCTTCGTTTCACCCCATACAACACCCCCCCCCCCCCCTTCTTTCTTTTTCCCCAACCTTGCTGAGTGGGAATATGTTCACCACAGGCATTGATTTTTACATAATCATTTGGTAATAAAGGGTATTGAATAGATAACCACAAGCCACCAACAGGAGGCAAGAAGACATTAGCTCAAGCTAATGTCTCCAAGCTTTTAGGCTGAATGCTAAAAAAGAGAGAAAGAATATATATAGTATTAACTAGAAATTACATTAGGATATGGAGATAGTGAGCTTGAAATTCCAGCAAGTGATTTTGCTTTAACTTCAACTTTAGGGACTGAATTGATCTCCGGTTCTACAGCTGTTTCTACTTTTGGAGGCTCAGGGTTCAACTCAGGAACTGCTTCTGCTTTCTGAACAGCGCTATCAGCAACAGGAGAGCTTGCCTCAGCAGGTGCAGTAAGAGCTTTGCCAGTCACAGGTGATGGTAGAAGAGCCTTTCCAATTTGCTGCGTTTCCCAGGTGAAAAGAGGAAACTTTCAATTCATTAACTGTAAGCAATGGATTCATTCTTAACAATGGAAAATTAAGTGCCTGCCCAAAAGATGGAACACTAAAAAATGGACTTATCACATAAAGAAATTATATATAGAGAAGCATCCATATTAATGCAAAGTACCTTAATCTCATCTACAAGCTCTTTGGGGCAACCTTGGTGTTCAGGAATTCATCAACTTGTTGAAGAGTTTGCTTTCTATCCTGTTAAACGAAAGTGGTGGAAATATGTCAAACGAATTCTGCTGTTTTAGAAAGTTTATAAGAAAACTGGAGCGTGAAACCATGCAGACATAAAATAAGCATCTTGATCCTATCTATATAATAAAGCACAATACAATTCAATTATCAAAAGATAACAAAATGACTTTTGCTATTTGCGGTTGAGATGTCTTTCAATTTTACTTTAAGGTTAATCCGACGACTAATATTAACACTCTAAATTTAATATGAAAAATAGACCCCTAAATGTGTGTTTGAGGGTGACTTTTTAATAGTGCTTTTAATACTAATAATTTCTCCTAAATACTTTTAAAAAAAAAGTAGTGTTTCGAACCACTCCACCACCACCCTCTGTCCCTTACCACCACTATCGTTGTCGTCACCATACCACCCCTACAATCATTACGGTTGCCACACCACCACCACCGCCCGACCTCCACCATCTCCATTACACCCACCACCGTCACCTCCACCCCACCACCACCCAACCACCGCTGCCACTTTCCTACCACCGCCATTGCCACCCCACCACCACCTCTGCCACAACAACCACCGCTACCACCATTGCCCCCTACTATCACCACCATCGCCTCCTACTATCACCACCGTCGCCATTACTACTGCCGCCACCCCGACCACCACCATCACCTCCACCCCACCCCCACTGTTCAACCATCATCCCTATCACTACCCCTATCGCCTTATCACCATCCCACACGACCACCACCACTACCACCACCGCCGCCATCGCCACCACCCCACCACCACCACTACCATCGCTCACTCCCACTATCACCCCCACTATCACCGGTATTTAAATTCATTTCTCTCTTCTCTATATTTGTGATTTGATTATTATTGACCAATTTTTTTATTAGTCTGTGTCTTCAAACACATGCAATAACTAGTACAATTATAAGTGTCCTTGGCGAAATTAAATGAAACCAACTCAAAAAGGTCATCATCCTATTTGGTCCCTGTTAGCTAAAGGTGCTGCAAGATGTAGATGGGTGAACCTTTGGCCTTATAATGCACAAGGTGACTGCCATCACACAAAAAAACCACAAATTGCTGTTATTAGCCAAAGCAAATAACATGTAATTTCTAATGCTCAGAACAAACGAACACAGTACATTGAGGTTATACTAAGGTTAAATGGCAAATATTTATAAATAGGGAACCTTTTTGGAAGGGATCATATAGTTCAATTAAAATGGTTAAGAATAATTTGACCATCCTAATGCTTATATCATGCATATCTTGGTTTTGGGTAGTAGAAATAGTAAATTCTAATGTCCACTTGCATGTAATGTTAGCTGAAATTTGCATAAAGAGATGAGCAGCTACATAGTATGCATTAGGATTGAAACTGTATCAAAAAGGGTGATCCACATGTAGGAATTCTCTGGATAAATGTAACCTAATGAATTCTATAATGTTTAAGGAGATCCATGAAATCCTTCAGATAACTTAAAGACAATAACATTATGGTTCTACATAGTATTGACAAACCTCGGCAAAGAGAAATTTCTTGCTGACAAACTGAAGAAGTGCAGCAGAACCCAAGAGCTGGAGTATTGTTTCTACCTGAAAAGTTGCAGCAAAACCATAATGTTGTATTTTCCGTAGCAGCATGCTCACCTGGTGCCATAACCTGAGGGAGAGAGCGCCGCCCCGCAAGGGGGGGGGGGGGGGGGGGATAGAGAGAGAGAGCATCCAAACCTCTGTAAATGCTAATAAACCTAATCCAGTGGCTGCGGCAATGCCAAGGGTAAGAGGTACAGCATCAGAACCCTCCTGCAACATAAATTCATCATAAACCTTAAACAACTGCTTACATCAGAGAATGTCATAGCTTTTCGAATAATAACAGCCCATACAGTTATTAGCCACATTAGATAAAATACAAAAACTGTTCACTGTTCTCAGTTTTTTAGTGTTTTGTTGGGTTAGAGAAAGTTGAGACACATACTCCAAGGGCACCACTAATTGCATCAGTCAAGTTGCTGGGATCAAGACTCGGTACTTTTGCTGGGAGTATCCAAGGAAGACCGCTACTCTGCATGGATTAGGATTTATTTTTAAGTTTAAAATCCACTAAATGTACCAAAGATAAGTTGGACCTGGAAGGCCTAAAAATGAAAAGAAAAAGGAGGAATTAAGAATTTGGCAACAACCATCCATCCTCGATTTCCTTCTACACCATCTTTTATTGCATAAGCAGCTTTGAAGCCATTAGCTGTGACCAGCTCCGCAACCAGTTCAGAGTTTCCATCAAATCTGTCTCTATCAAAATTCAACAACATAAGGTGGTTTTTCCAAGGTTAATTTTCGAAGAATTCCACGTGGAAACTCTAACACTCGTTGCAAATAGAATTTTTCATTGGAGGGAGTAACAAAGAACAAGGAAAGAAATCAATGGAAAAGACATTAATATTAAGGTACCATCAGCTCATACTTATTCTTTTAACAACACTCACAAAATTCATTGCTATAGAAACAGTTAGACACTTAATTTATAGTATTTGGCCACTTTAAATCACCCTGTAATCTTCTACAAGCACCAAAACAAGATCCATTACATAATGATACAAAGATATGACCTTTGAGAAAGAAATTAAGATCAACACGTACAAGTAGCTAAATAACTAAGATCTTCAAACCTCCTCTTGGTTGATTATAGTACATCAATTTTTATTGGCTGAAATGGCCAAGCTATATTCATCAAATAAACTGTAGTAATGCTGATTGATTCAATAATTTTTGGACCAAGGAATTGATAATTACAAGCTCCATGAATAGATAGCTGGCCTTTGGAGCCTGGATGATTCAGCGATACTTGTCATCAACATACACGAGGGCTGCAAACTATGTCGCACTGAACATTGCAAGTGCACGAGTTTGGTTCACTACTTTTTGGTCCAGTTTTCATCCCCTCTCTATCTATGGACATCTCGGTTTCAATCTTACAGTAGATTTTTGGGCATTCATGATGTAAAGAAGAAATTTTGTTAAACCCCCCCCCCTTTTTTTTTCAAAACCCCCAAATTAGCATTATTACGGTGATTCTATTACAGGCATCAACTATAGTACTCTCCCATCATCATGTTATAAATTTAAACATGCAGAGGCTTGATTTCAAACTCATTGATTTTATGTTAATCCTTGAATCAACCTGAAAAGAGTTCTTAAATTTGCAGAAATCAATCTGAGTGTTTTCTCAGATACGGACGATAATCATAAATAAATTGTCGGACAATCATTAAACTTTTGTCCAAAATCTTACCTGTCGAGAATGAACAATGTGGTACTTTCTGGTTCCTTCAACTTCAAAGATAGCTTCTTCAAGAACCCTGGCTTATTTTCGCCTTTGTACACAACAGAAACAGGCTTCTTCTTCAAACCCCGCAAATCCGGACTACCCACTTGCCTTAATTCCACTGGTGCTCTTATATCAAGCAACTGGGCATTGGCATCATCACCCAGTTTTGCATAAGCCGTCTTAGCAAACTCAACTCCCCATGGCTTAAGCTTACTGAATACCAGAGATAAAACTAGAGGCAAGGCCAAAATGGCCACACCACCTGCTATAACCGTAGGATTCTCCACTCCAAAGTTTATAGCACTATCAAGAAACCCACTGAAATCAAAGTCATAAGAACTCCCAGAAGAAGTGGAAGTGCCTACTAACTGCTGTAATGCTTCTTCATATGTCAGTGCTCTAGCAAATTCAGTACTTAGAACAGAAGATAGAAGCACTAGACCACCATGAACAGTACTCCTTGGAAAGACCTTTGAAATATTTGGTGGGCTGGGATTATAATTTGCAAAATTTGGGGATTTACATGGAGATATAATGGGGAGTGAAAGACTTTTTCTGGGTTCTATTCTCTTGTCTGAAAGAACAGAGATGGGTGTCAAGCCTACTGCATTGAGGGCTTCCATAACATAATTCTTGAATCGCTAATTCTGGGTTCTCAATAGATTGATGGGAAGGCTTGAATCACCACCATGAACAGTGAATGGTTTTGTTTGGCAGATTCTGTTTGAGAATCAGAGGTAGTGATCATGTTAGCTGTAGATAGACTGGTCCAATTTTTTGCTGTTTGAGAGTTTGAGATTGTGTGGCTGAGAAATATCTGGAAGAAGTTTCTGGAAATTCTGACGAAGAGCCTGTACTAGTACTAGTTTCTATGCTACAGTACACACCAGTACAAGCCACAACCAGCTCCGCCCATTGTATAAGCAGATTTTTACCCTGCTTTAAATTTAAATTTATTCATTATAATCCTCGGTATTAAATTAAATTTTTTATTTTAACCAAAAAATTGAGTTGAGGTTAAAAATGTTCTGACGACTGAGCTTTTCACTTAGAGTTCAATCTTTAAGAAAGTTATTGTACAGAAATGGATTATGAAAATTTTAATACAAAACGATGTTATTTTAATCAACTATGGCAAGGTGGGTATTATGAATGATTAATGAATTATGGGTAATAAAATTAGAGGACACTATATGTATTTTAAATATTAAAATAAAATTATTCCCCTCCTCTATCTTTTATGGTCATTCATATCTTTTGATTTGCATTTAATTCCAAATAGTCATATTTACACCACCTTTAAATGGTGATTGCTTGTATTTATTTTAGTTCATGTTGATTTATTAATTAAGTATATTTGGAAGTTTTTTTTTTTTTTGATAAGTAAAGTGTATTTGGAAGTTACTTTGTTTACTATTTGAATATGTTAACATCCATTCTAAAACAAATAATTTTAACAAATTGTTCTTTGATTTAATTTATTGACTTACTACATCATATTCATTGAATTAGTAATATGTCTTTCACAAATATTGAAACTCACTATCAATTTAATAATTTTAAAGAATTATATCAACAAATCAGATTAATAAACTAAGTCCAAAATAACATTGCTCATAATATTATATGAGTAGTCATAACTATTTTTGGATGAATTATATTTTGTACTTTAAAATTTTAAGAATTCTTACATTAAAAAATAAATATTTTTATATTATATCCTCAATGTATTAAAAAGTGTTGTAATGTAACTCTTATGTTAGTTTTTGTTATTTTTTCAGTCAAAAAACTCCCCATTAATAGTGACAAATAAAATAACAAAATCTAACAAAAGAACCACATTGCAACATTTTTGATAAATAAAGAATGAAAACCTCTCAATTAACATTGACAAAAAAAATAAAAGAATCTAATAAAAAAGTCACATTACAACATTTTTGATATATTAATAATGCAATATGAAAAATTTAATCTTTAAGGGCATATTTGTTTCAATTATTCATTGAGGGTGATATTAGAAATGTATTCCTTACATTTTCTAATACCAATGAAAATTAGTACAAGTAATAGAAAATATTTCAATTATCTTCCATATTTGTTTGTTCAATAGGTATTAGGTAGATCCCACAAACAACTATCTATTCTATCACATCTTATATAACAAATATACAATTTTATCCTAAACATCATTCATTCCATTACCCAATTTATGTAATGCTTTTGCATAATGTTTAAACATAATAAAAAGAAAAATTTTAAAATAATTTTAAGCATATCGGTGACAACGTATTGTTAAACATAATACAAGAAAAAAAATTAAAATAAATTAAAAAACAACATGTGACACAGTATGCTTAAATATAATTTAAGCAAAAAATTCAAAATAAATTTTTTACATGTGAACTCTTTACAGAGGAGGGCATGTGTGTCATTTTAGTCTCTTATTTCGTCATTTCATTTGTATCGAAAAGATAATACCATCGAGAAAGTAGTATTTATTAATATCATGTGCAAAATTTTTAGGACACTAGTTATACCGGGTTGATATTACCATCCAAAAAATAATATTGGTGTGTAAAATGCCAAACAAATAAGATATTAGGTGGATCTTACATACTATTTCCTTATATGCTATCCTATAAGAGCAACTCCAAAAGACTAGCTAAAACTCTCTTTTTAGCTATTTTAGATAGTTTATTCCTGAAATGTGACTCCAACAGAGTAGTTATTCTCCTATAAATTTGTTTATAACCTCATTTTTACTAACTACATCTAGTTAGCCACTTTTCATTAGCTACATCCAACAAAACTCCTCAAAAATCTAATAAACTCTTTCAAAAAACCCAATAAACTTCTCCCAAAAATTTAACTTCTGTTATTTGTGTAATTTGATAAGATTTTGTTTTGAATTTTGTGATTTAATTTGAGAGAATTTAGTTTTAGAGTAGTAATTTTTGGGAGGTGAGTTCTCTCTTATAGCCTATAATTGATTAAATTTATATAATGTATAGTTGAATTGCTATTTTTTGAATTTAATTATTAAAAACTAGTTGAAATGATTAGTTAAAATAGATAGCGTTGTTAAAATAAATTTTAAAAAATAATTAATTAAAATAAATAATATAATATTTAAATATATTTTAAATAATTATTTTAGATACCATTATTACATATGCTCCAATACCATCTAATCCTTCAACTAAACATGCCACAAGGGTAGAAAGCGAGAATTCTTAAATCTCTCAATTGAGATTCTCCCATTATTTTTTTATGTTCATAAGACAACTTCACCCTTATCTTTCGACCAATAGCCCCTTAAGTCCACTGGGTAATCAAGAATGTCAACACAAATATCTGCTGAGGGCTTTGTTCTTAAACCCTACACAGTATACAACGCCCAAACTTCACTCCAGACCCAAAAGCATACAAGGTGAGTAGTTTTCTTCAGATTGTATCTGTACAATATAGATAGATATATGAGATAGATATTTTCCACTATCTCTGACAAAATCTGCTCTCCGATGCCAATTTTATCTCTGTACCATCATCTGTTGCTTCTTTAATTCTCCCAAAAAATAAAATCATGGAACCCAAATTCTGTATAAATTTATCCCAATCCTCACCAACTATTGTTGTTTTTCCTTCCTTTCTCTCATACAAATCTGCTATGCTTCATAAACCAAAAGTTTCTGTAGAGGTTCCCTTGTCAGTTTCTACGAAGCAATCAGAAAATACTCCATTTTGGGGTAGAAGTTTGGTTTTGCAAGAGAGGAATGATTATTTGGGGATCGCGAGAAAAACCCATTTCACAGTTAGAGCAATTGTGAAGAGAAGGAAAGAGGCTCCTTTTGATAATGTGATTCAAAGGGATAAGAAGCTCAAGTTGGTTTTGAAGATTAGGAAGATTTTAGTGAGCCAACCCGATCGAACTATGGCACTTCGCGAAATGGGTAGGTTTAGAAAAGTTTTGGGTCTTCAGAAAAAGAGAAGATTTATTGCTTTGTTGAGGAAATTTCCGGCAGTATTTGAGATTGTGGAAGAAGGGGCTTATTTGCTTCGGTTTAAATTGACACCTGAGGCTGAGAGGCTTTATTTGGAGGAGATGAAGATTAAGAATGAGATGGAGGATTTGTTGGTTGTTAAGCTAAGAAAATTATTGATGATGTCTGTGGATAAACGGATTCTTTTGGAGAAGATTGCCCATTTGAGAACTGATCTTGGGCTGCCTTTAGAATTTCGTGACACAATTTGCAGGCGATACCCACAATATTTTAAGATTGTTGTGACTGGACGAGGTCCAGCCTTAGAGTTAACTCATTGGGATCCTGAGCTTGCTGTTTCTGCAGCTGAGCTTGCTGAAGAGGAGAATAAAGCAAGAGAGCTAGAGGAGAAAGATCTAATTATTGATAGGCCATTAAAATTTAATAGAGTTACACTACCAAAGGGTCTTAAACTTTCAAAGGGTGAGATGAGAAGGATTTTTCAATTTAGGGATATGCCTTATATATCACCTTACTCCGACTTCTCTGCACTTAGGGCTGGTACTTTAGAGAAAGAAAGGCATGCTTGTGCTGTTGTTCATGAGATGTTGAGCCTCACTATTGAGAAAAGAACTCTTGTGGATCATCTCACTCATTTTCGAGAGGAATTTAGATTCTCTCAGCAGCTTAGAGGGATGCTGGTAAGGCACCCTGATATGTTTTATGTCTCCTTGAAAGGAGATAGGGACTCAGTTTTTCTGCGGGAAGCATATCGTGATTCTCAATTGGTAGAGAAGGATCGTTTGTTGCTAATCAAGGAGAAGCTTCGTGCGCTTGTTGCTGTTCCAAGATTCCGAAGGAGTGTTTCAAAAACTGAATCAGATGGGGCAGAAGGAACTAGTGAGCCACGAGAAGGAAGTGGTGGGGAGGACGAGGAAGAATGGTCTGATATTGATAATTTGGGTAGTGATGGTTTTGATGATGAGGATGAATATATTGATGACGATGATGAGGGTGATTGGAGTGAGGAAGATGATGATGTGCTACCTGACTTTGAAGAAGATGATGGAAATGTAACCCTTGGACCAAGCAAACCAACTAGACAGGTAGATAACTCAACAAAGCATGAAGGGAAGGTTCTTGTTCCTATGTTCCCTGATGGTCGACAAAGAGAACGCTGGTAAAAGTATGGATATTTTCTTTATATCTTTGAAGGGCCAATTCACGGGGAGCTTACCAGAAAGAACGCATTTTGCTGCTTGGAGGTTCTGCATTTCTTTTAGAACGGCAGTCATGAATTTTCCTCCTAACTTCTAGGTCTAGGAAAGTGGTCAGGGAAAGAGGATCATCAATCATAAATTTTGCCTCTTTGCTGCCGTGTAGCAAAATGCAATCTCTTTATTCGTATTGATTACAAAACAAGACAGCACTGCACCAACTGCTAGGTCTGTTGAGATTGACGGATGCTTTTTTGTTAATATAAAATATTATTTGCTGTTTCTGAAAGAACCTAGTTAGATTTTTCTTATTACATTTGGAAATTTACTGATACATCTGTCTAGCTTGTTTATTTTGCGAATTGCTAGGTGTGATGCTCAAGACTGACCAAGTGACCAGTATCGAATGTGGCCACTAAGTAGGTGATAACTGGCAACTGAATTTTGTTGACCACAAATGTTTTTCTATATTTGGATGAATGGAATGGCTGTACTTATCCTTGTGCGTTGCCCTTAAGATTTGCAAGCAAGTGGACCAAGCTTCTTGCCAATTGCTTTGTGATCTGGAAGGAGCTACTTAGCTCGCCTTACAGACAATGTTCCTCAGTTTACCTTATGTGCTTCTTGGTGTTGGCTGGGTGCTAGGTGTTGATTGGCCTTTGTATTTTGTTTACAAGTAAGGCACAAATGACAGCAAGTGAAGTTGAACTGCTTGCCTATAGTAACAGTGAATTTTGTGTGTTGCATTTACAATTTGACATGTTGTGACGCCATTTCTAACTTTTTTTTCTCAAGTTGTTTGCTAGCAAATTGTTGAGTAACCAACGAAGTCTTCTTTCCAACTATTTGGAGTCAGCTTATTTTGAATTTAATGTCTGTCCTACTGATTTCAATACACGAGTTCACCTGCCATAGCTGCAATCTGTCTTTGAACTGAGATGATCCAGAGAATGTTGATGCTAAGAAAATGGCAAAGCCCCGATTCATGAAGACTCTTCAGGATCTTTTGCAGCATGCATGATGGTGAACTTTTTGCGAACCTCATGAGTTTCGGCATAAAACTTTAGTATTGGGATACGCTGTTGGATACTTGGGTTACCTGGAGAGTCTGCATGCCACATAGGAACTGCAGTTATGTATGAGCATGATCTGAGACCGCACACTTGGGCATGGCAAAACTTTCTAGTTTGGGTTGGGAAATAGGTGAGCCTCTATGTTTTGGTTACCTATGAAAGTGAAATATTTTGGAAAACTGCTTCCAATCATCTTCAGTTGAATGGTTTCAACTTGTTCTTGGTCATGCTGGTGTCTGTGATGCTCATTATCCGTCCATAAAAATCGTGGCTGGACCTTAGAACAGGATTTATTTGATTTGTGTCACCTTACAACATTCAAATATTTTGTTTGCGAATAAGTTTATTCTATACTTTCTTTATAACTGAAATTCCTGTAGTATGATTTGGCATTTGCTAAGAAATGTCAAGAGTGTTGCTTGATCTCTCTAAGGGCTATGATGAACATCGTATTAGTTTTTATATCAAATTGATATAAATCGTAGTAGAAAAGAATCAGGGAAGAGAAGAGAAGAAGAAGGGGATGGTGCAGAAGAAATGGATGAGGAAAAAGAGACAATTTGAGGAAGAAGTATTATCAAAATTTAATATCAATAATCAATAATTATCAAAGTCTAATCTCCATAAAACTCTTATATGCATCTCTTTATATACAAAAACTAAAACCTCAAAACAAATAAATAATGACAAATAAATCCTTAAAACTTAAAAGATAAATACTAAAAATATCTAAATTATTCTCATAATTAATCTAAAATATATATCCAATTCTTATACAATCCTCATTATTTTCCCCGGTTGGGAAAAACTTTCAATCAGAAAGTACCCTAAGAGAGCAACATGAAAATGATAGAATGCCTCATCTAGAATGAAAGAGCCATAAACTTTTCTCCATTTGTAGAAACACCTGCTAATAAAATATGAGACTTTGAAGTATCTCGATTAAGTAGTATGTCCTCCAAATAAAAATTTGAACTAATACAAACATTCAATAAAAAATTAAGCAAATAAACATTAAATTTAAACCCGAAAATAGCAAAATAATTCTCATTAGGTTTCAACAAAAAGTATCCAA